TAGACCAGGGGTGTCCAAACTTTTTTCATCACATTTCTAAACACAGATGAAGCAGAGGGCCGATCGAGGGCCGTAGACTGGAGCTCAATACAGTGAAAAATTGAAATATATGCATGTTTAACACTTTGGAATGAGCCATCAGTCCTTATTCACTCTAAAATCCCCAAAACCACACATTAAATCTTCAATATTGGCTTTATCAAAGTAGATTAAAAAAAAAAAAAGTTGCTGTAAAAAGTTCATTTTCAATTGATGCAAGGTAATTTGGGCCAAATCACCTGGAAGCCCGAGGGCCAAGAAAAATTTGGGCTGTAGTTTGGACATGCCTGCACTAGACGGTTTGCAAAAACCCCGGAAGTGCAAGTTCAGGCACCAACCAATCAGTGAAGAGTCATATATTCAGTGTTCAACAATTCCCGAGATCGAGAATTTAAAGCCAGAACAAAGAGAATGTTTGGTGAATTTTATCAAGGAGAAAGACGTTATTGTCCTTCTTCCTATGGGGTTTGGGAAAAGCTTGATATACCAGTTAGCCCCATTACATTACATTACATACGTGATGACCAAATAGCAGTGAATGGTTAATTTTTTTTTAAAGTACCTGCCTACTGTTGAGCGGATGAATTCCAACACTGCGAGGTCAGACGGTTTCTACAAAGTGAAACCAGCTGATGAATCAGGCTAGGTGACATTGGCATCTCCAAAAAAAGTTGCATAGTGTGCTTTAAACCTTCAATTTCATTCAAAAGAACTACTCACTATAGAGGCTTTTAACAATATAATACAAATGTGCTAATAATTAACTTGACTTGTTAAATGAACAGTACAATATACCCTTTATCACCCTTTCTTTTCTTTTGAATACATTTGAATTAAACTTGTTTTTGTTTTTTTAGATGTGTTATGTGCCAACCAGGACTAAACCTGTTTTAAAATAGTCTAAAGCAGCGCTCTCTAACTCTCTATGCCACAGTCAAATTCGATCACATTTAAGTATCAATTTGGACAATGTTTAGCCTTTTTCAATGCCATGAAACCAAAACATGGCTTAAACCTGGTCTAAAATCAGCTAAATCAGTGACCTCCCACCTTGCCTTGTTCTCCTGTCACTGACCCCTGCTCCCACATTGTGTTTAAACAATGCAAACTATGTGATGGGAGAGTAGTTGTACTGAATCTATTATCTGTGAGCTAAAAGGCTGCTGCTTCTAGCCAGGTTTAGTGGAGGAGGGGTACAGAGAACAGAGAGCAAAAGTTTGGTCAGTCTGGTTTGATTTTAGTTTAGTCAGGATCTAGTCTTGGTTTGACTGTGGTTTAGTCCTGGTTAAGTCCAAATTCAGGCCCAGATTCGAAGTATGTCAGTAGGTTTAGTGGAGGATGGGTACAGAGAATGTGTTAGTTTGGTCAGTTTGATTTCATTTCAGTTTAGTCGGGATCTCGTCTTGGTTTGGTTCTGGTTTAGTCCAGGTTAAGTCCAAATTCAAGCCCAGATTCAAAGTACAGTACAAATACCAATTCAGACTATGTTGAAAATGCAAACGTTAAGGACTACACCAGTTAGTCTACAGCGATGCCCTCTACCCGTTGTTTAGCCCTGGTCTAGTCAAAGTTTAGTCCCAAATTTGTTATAGCGCACATATGTCAGTCCAAAGTCAAATTCCATCACACAAAAATACCAACTGGGAAAATGTTCAGCCTTATTGAGTAATAATAGGACTAAAAAGAAATACTCTATCGGTTAATATCATGAAACTAAAACCTGGTTTAAACCTGATCTCAAATGGATTTCAGCAGATGCCCTCCACCTCTGTGCCCCTGCACCCCCATTGTGTTTATACTATGCAAACTCTGTGATGTGAGACTAGTTGTGCTGCATCTATTATTGCTGAGCTCCAAGGCTGCTGCTGCTGCTGCTGCTGCTGCTGCGAGCCAGGTTTAGTGGAGGAGGGGTACAAAGAACGTGTCAGTTTGATCAGTCCTGGTTTGAGCCCAGTTTAGTCCTGATGTAGACCTGGTTTGGCACTGGATTAATTCCAGTCTAGTCCTGTTCTAGCCATGGTTTAGTCCATATTTAATTTAGTCCTGGGTTAAGTTGACAGTTCTTGTTTAGTCCCAGTTTTGCTGTAGTGTGTTTACAGTGTTTACAATCTGGTCAGTCCTGGTTTGAGGTCAGTTTAGTCCAGATGTAGTCCTGGTTTGGTCTTGTTCTAGTCCTAGTTTAGAACATATTTGGTTTTGTCCATGTTTTCTTCCAGGTTATGTTGACAGCTCATGTTTAATCCAGTTTTGCTGTTTAGTCAATTTTGCCCAAGACTAAGCCAGATTTAAACCTGGTCTCACATGGACTGAACCAGGACTAAACCAATTCTGGTAGTCTATAGCGATGTCCTCTGCGTCTCTACCTCTCTTAAGTACGAAGTCAGCCTTGTCATAACAAAACGGGGCTTAAACCTGGCCTCAAATAAACGAAATCAGTGATGCCCTCTCTCCCTCCTCATCCCTCCCCGCTTCCTCTCCCCCCTGCTCCCCCATTGTGTTTAAACTATGCAAACTCCTCCATGCGAGACTAGTGGTGCATTGCATTATATTACCTGTGTGGTCCAAGGTTGCTACTCTTGGTTTAGTCTTGTTCTAGTCCTGAGCTAGTCCACGTTTAGTTTAAAGTGCAAGTTTTACCTTTTTCCAGTAATACCATGACTAAAAAAGACTTAAACCTGGTCTTAAATGGACTGAATCAGGACTAAACCAGTTCTACAGTAGGGGTGTGCAAAAATATTAGAAATATTGATATATCGTATTGTTTAATGTGATGATACAGTATCGATATCGTGGGCCGCTGTATCGATATATCACCAAGAGTATTTTTTTTGTATATTTTACAAAACTATTTTGTTACAGAGCTACAGTTTTGTTACTTGTTCAGTGGAAGGTAACTCATTTTTGCAACACATTTGACATTTGAATTTGAATTTAAATTAGATTTTATTCATGGAAAGCTCAATTTTCACAGTTTTGATTATTAAAATGTTTGTATTTCATATGAACTTTGCACAAGAAGTGGTTTAACAGAGACTTTTAGTATCACATTGAACATTTAACCATTATTTCGTATCAAATCGATTTGAAATGTATAGTATTGAAAGCTACTCGAAAGCTCACTGTATAGTATCATGGCCTTTGTATCGAGGTATGTATAGTATCGTGGCCTTTGTATCGAGGTATGTATCGTATCTTGGCCTATGTATCGAGCTATGTATCGTATCGGCAGCTTCTTAATGATACCCAGCTCTAGTCTACAGCAGTGGTCACCAACCTTTTTTAGCCAAAGATCTACGTGCTTGGTCTGAGAAAAGAGCAAAATCTACCAACATGAACAACAAAAGTGATCATTTTTATTGTTCCAGATTGCTTTATTTGTGCAAGGAACACTCATTACAGAATGACAGTTTTGGTAATTTAACTGTTTTCTGGGGACTAAAACACTCACTGCAAGGGAAAAAAAAGCGCAATTGCAATACAAGCAAAATGCAAAAACACAAAACAGCATTAACAGTGTATCAAGGGGTAATGAGAGGAGTTCTATTATTATCACACTCACAAACTCACAAACTCACGGGTTTATAACTTCGCAGTCACAAATTGTTGAATTTAAGCTCGAGATCTATGGTGGACATGGCAAAGACCTTTTGATCACGATTGATGGGTTGGTGACCACTGGTCCACAGCGCTGCACTCTGCTCCTCTTACTTACAGTTTGGACTTTTAAAATAATCTTTTTCGCTTAAATGGACTAAACCAGTTCTGCTATAGCGACGTCCTCCACCTCTCTACCCCTCTCACTTCTACCCCTCCTTCCCTCCCTCACCACTGCCTTCCCCGTTGTGTTTAAACTATGCAAACTCCTCGATGCGAGACTAGTGGTGCTGCTTTATATTACCTGTGCGTTCCAAGGCTGCTACTACAAGTTTGGTCTTGTTCTACATTTAGTTCCGAATTAAGTCCAACAGTTTTCCAGTAATACCAGGACTAAGCCAGACTTAAACCGGGTCTCAAATGGACTAAACTGGTTCTACAATAGTCTAGAGCCATGCCCTCTATCCTTCTCACTTACAGTTTACAGTAATTTCCCCACACAAAAGTACAAATTAAGAAAAATAAGTATCTTTTTTTTTCTCAAATGGACCAAACCAGGACTAGACTAGTTCTGTTATTGCGATGTCCTCCACCTCTCCACCACTCTCCCTCCTCCTCCCTGCTCCCCCATTGTGCTTCAACTATGCAAACTCCTCAGTGCAAGACTAGTGGTGCTGCTTTATATTACCTGTGCGTTCCAAGGCTGCTACTACAGGTTTGGTCTTGTTCTAGTCTACGTTTAGTTCCAAATTAAGTCCAACCGTTTTCCAGTAATACCAGACTAAAACTTGGTCTCAAATGGACTCAATCAGTACTTAACTGGTTCTAAAATAGTCTACAACCATTCCCTATATGCTTCTCACTTACAGTTTACAGTAATTTTACCACACAGAAGTACAAATTAGGAAAAATATGTATCTTTTTTTCGCTCAAATGGACCAAACCAGGACGAGACTAGTTCTGCTATAGCGATGTCCTCCACCTCTCTACCCCTCTCACTTATACCTCTCCCTCCTCCCTGCTCCCCCATTGTGTTTAAACTATGCAAACTCCTTGATGCGAGACTAGTGGTGTATTGCATTATATTACCTGTGTGGCCCAAGGCTGCCTCTCTCAGGTTTAGCGGTGGATGCGTACAGAGACGGCGGCTCCGTGCTGAGACTGGCACTATGCATCGAGCTGAGAGAGAGAGACTCCTGTTCGATGGGGCGCACCTAGAAAAGATTAAATCTATTGTTTCCCTGTCTTACCCATAATGCATTCTGTCATAGGGAGCTGTCTGTGTCTAATGTAATCTGTCAGAAGGTAAGCAAAGCCAAGCGAAGGATGCTTATGGAGGTTTGTGCTGTTTTTCTTTTGCCCTGCAGTGACGGGGTTTCCCTATCCAGCCACAGGGGCCACGGTCGCCTACAGAGGGGCCCATTTGAGAGGCCGGGGACGGGCTGTCTACAACACCTTCCGCACCGCCCCCCCTCCTCCACCCATCCCGGCCTACGGAGCGTGAGTATATACGGTTACTTTGTTTTACACGTTTTTACATTTTACGTTTCTTCAAGCTGAAAAATCATGCTTCAAGAGCCATGACAAGGGACAACAATGTGATCTGCTAGACAAACATTTGAACAGCTATAGTTACTGAAATCATCTGCTCACGTTCAACTCCTAAGGTTGCAAAAGTGGAAGTGTTGTATACCGTATTTTTCAGATTATAAGGGGCACTTAAAATCCTTTAATTTTCTCAAAAATCAACAGTGCACATTATAATCGAATCCGCCTTATATATTAATTATGGTTGTGCTGACTGACATCAAACCGATTTCATGTGGTGCACGGCGCTCAAAAATCTGTCAAAATGTTTTAGTATGACTCTGGTAAACTATGAATCATGTGGCTTGATGGATTGTTGGAGCATTACGTCCTCATGGAGTAATAATCTCTGAAAAGTTTCACGTGAACCATCTCCAACCTGATAGAAGCACAGAATAGACTCACCATCAGCAGCACATCCTCTGTCACAGAAAGAACACACATATTCAACTGAGTCGTGTCTTTCAGTGCACAAGGAGTGAGCTGTTTTTTTTTCTTTTCAGTGCTTAAAGTTTATGCAAATGAGCCATGTAGTTTTAAGTTTAGTTTCTGTAAAATGTAAACAAATGTGCGTAAAGCTGCATTAAACACATTATTACTCAGTGTATATTTGAGTCCTGCTCATAGGAAAAAAAAGAAAAAAAAAAAACACATTCACATTCATAATTCACATTCGCCAAGACAGGGAGGCAACACCGGGCGAATTACGCCACGATCTGCCAATGGATCATGGACGCCTGGGCTAAGGGATCACTCTCAAATGTCGTCCGCTTGTTTCACTTAATGTGCTTTATAATCCGGTGTCTCTTATGTATGAAAATAGACAAGAGAACTGAACATTACTGATATTGCACATTATAATCCGGTGCGCGTTATAGTCCAAAAAATACGGTACTAATGATACTAAATATGGTATCAAAAGTAGATACTCATTTGAGCAAGTACCTCTACTAAACTCACCACATAAACAGGACAACATTTAACCTTTACATAACACCTAAAGAATGATTTTGAGCTGTATGACAACTATTATAGTACTACCTGTTATTCTATGGTCAGTGAGAATTCCAATGTCTAACTGCCGTGTGGCAATACTGCATAACGCAAAAGTAGTTCCATAATGTAGTAACTAGCATCATCAACACTGAAATACCTTATATTTTGGACATTTACAGACAGAAAACAGGCTTTTCACATTCATAGGTGAAACATTTCAGTTTGCAGCTGTGATATAAGTGCATTGAACAACTTGGAAACGTGTCTTTTACAGTTTTAACGCACTGCTCCTGTTAGTTTAATGATTTTACGTGTCACTGCTCTGCTGCCATTGCCATGACATCACCATAGCTTCATTTAAAACACAGAAAGAACTCATTTGAGACGTTTACAGACAGTGGAAAGCTTTTCACATTCACAGGTGAGACATTTCATTTGGTAGTTTTGGTACAAACAGACGTGCGTTATGAAGTTCTAAAGCACTTCGGGGATGAACACCAACTCTGCGGCGTACGTAACATATGTGTATTTTTTTTTTATCATATACATATTTAAATCATCATTACTGCTTTTATTGAGTTTTTATCATCCAAAGTGTTTGAATTCTATGAGCAATGACACAAAAGTTTTACGTTCAAGAACAGTAGTCCATATTGACAGTTGTAATTTTGCACTCCAAAGTCATTTAAGGGCCAGAGCGATATCAGGTTTAATACTGTGTAAAGACCATTTAGCATTCATTCTCTGCCATTCCCTTTGAGACAAAATAAAGATTAAAAGACCATTTCTCTTATATCTTCTCCTGCTGAATACATCAGCACACATTAAGTCCAAAGCAGTGAAAGTGGATGTTTGTATAGAGTGATTGTGACTCGAGCTCCCTCCGCTCTTCACTCACGCTAGAAATGGATCATCTACATAAGTTAAATATAAGATGAATTCAGAATGTACTTATTTAGATACTTTAGATTTATGCAGTCAGTTTTACTCTTGACAATTAGAAATCCAACTTAACTTAAAAGAAACACACATTATGCTTTTTTGAGGCTTTAATTCCCTTTTAAACATGTTTTTGCCCTTTCGAGTCATCTTCCACATGTTGTATCTTAAATAATTGTGCATTTGGAAAATACACTTAGACGCAGCCAGGTTTTTTATGAACACAGTTTGACCTCCAGATGAGTCTGGCGATGGTTTATGGCAGAGGTGGGGACTTGCAAGTTATGACTTGGACTCGAGTCAGACTTGAGTAACTATTTTTAGGACTTGAGACTTGAGGTGATAAAACAGACCAAGACTTGGGACTCGACTTGGACTTGAAGCTCAGTGACTTGAGAAGACTTTCTATTCTGACCGTAATGATTTCCACTAAGCTCTTAGTCCAATGAGGTTTATTTGGTCTTCCAATATTTTATGTCATTAGGTTCTTTTTTCAGACGAGTTTTTCAGAAGAGTTTGTTTTCATACCTGACAGTTTGGATTGCTCACTAGCACTCTTCCTCAGAGTGGTGACGTGATGTTGCTGTAACATGTCTGGTCCGGTGTCCAGCAGATGGCGCTGTCATTCTGCCTCCACTGGTAGGAAGACAGCACCAAAACCTGTATAAATCAGCTGAAATAAGGTCTTGTCAAAACATTAGTATTTCTACAAGTCTTATATAAATCCTCCAATACTCCAAATATACCATGACTTTTTAAAGTACTGTTTAGCTTAAAAATCATTAAAATTCATATACATTGCAAAAATCAAAGCTATATTTTGTACTTTGGTTTAAAGACTTGAAATGACTTGAAGCTCATAGCAGACAACTTGGACTTGACTTGGACTTGCCTGTCTTTGACTTGGGACATGACTTGAGACTTACTTGAGACTTGCAAAACACCAACTTGGCCCCACTTCTGGTTCATGAACTTAAAAACTGTGTTATAGAAGTCCGGAGTTTTATCTATGATGCAACGAAATTTGCAAACTGTGAACTACAACTACAATTTGAAAGTCATTTTGCATGTGTCCTTTAAAATCAAGTCTTCCTCCACCAACTTTTAAGATATTTTAGGCTTAGTTTTAATATTCTTATCTTCAAGTTAACTGTTATTCCCACAGATTTTATTTGTCCAAAATATATGTACATGAACATGAGCATGTATAAAAGCAACGATCTGAATTCAAGTTATTTTAAACCAGTAGACATGTGATTTTTATCTAAGTAGACATTTCTGTGCAAAGATAAAACATCTTTAAACCAGATCAGAAGTACCCTGAAGTCATATGATCTATTCTAATAACTAAATGAACTTGAACTTGTGTAAACTACTCAAAGGTATGATTTAAACGACTCTAACCCTATAGTACCTCACACTATATAACGTATTTGCATAGAGTGAGCAGTGTCCTGGTCTCCACTCCCTCTGCACCATCAGCTCGTGTAGTTAAAGTCTCTGGAGTAGGTGCAGTAAAATGGCCGCCGTGTGTTTTACAACCTGGAAAACTCATTTAGTGAAGACTCGGAGCCATCAGGAGATCTGCTGCTCAAACTGCTGATGTGGGCAGAGGAGAGAGAGCAGCCCGCGGACACCATCCAAGTCCTGCGAGGTCTGAACCCGGGACACAGGACGAGACGGAGCGATCAGGAGAGGACTCAGAGGACCTGTGTGTTTGGAGCTAATGCTGGAGTTGATTAGTCAGAAGAAGAAGCAATCAAAAGTATGAACTCTGAACATGATGACACTGCAAAAAGCAATGTCTAGGCAACTTAAAATCATTTAAATTAAGAACATTTAATTTTGTATGAGTAACATAATTTCCGGACTATTGAGTGCCAGAGTCTTGCACCGGGTCGGGTACCCACAAATAGTTCCTGAAACGGGCTTGGAATTTTACAGGCGGGTACGCGTGCGGGCAGTGATTACAGGTGAATCAAATGAACGATGAACGGGAGAAAAATACTGCGACGCGCATTCAGGACGTCTGTTGCCCTGGAAACAAGTGCCATTTCCCATCTTTTCCCAGAACAATGGACCTTTAGTGTATTTATTACATAAAACCATCAGCGGAGGATTGGCTTTGTAGCTGCGCTCCTGGTTTAGTTCTGGTTTAGACCTAGTTAAGTCTTGGTTTAGCCCTGGTTTAGAACTGGTTAAGTCCTGGTTTAGAACTGGTGTAGTCCTGGTCCAGTCCTGGTGTTGTCCTGGTGATCGGTTCTGCTGTTTGTGGTGTCTATATATTTATAATCTACTAATGACACAGCGTAGGTTCAGTCCTGGTTTAGTCCTGGTTTAGTCCTGGTTTAGTCCTGGTTTTACCCTGGACTGTTGGGCTGTCGGACTAATGGACTGACCTTGATTTATCAAGGGCACGTGCGGGTAATGGGTGGAATGTTAACGGGTCCGGGCGGGTGCGGATTTAACTTTGATATAATCACGGGTTAACGGGCGGGTGTGGGTCTTCAAAAATGGACTCTGCTGCAGGACTCTGTTGAGCGCGCCTGAATCTACTAATATGTCAACTAAATTTTAAAAGAAAAAAAATATATATATATAGGCCGCACCTGTCTTTAAGCCACAGGTGTCCACGTTGTAATTTGTGGTGTTTACACAGAAAGATGGTACCCAGAAATAATTTTTACAGTTTTTATTTAAATACCAATACATCCTTTTTGTGCTTCTAACATGGCAGGAAAACAACAGTAGTACGACAGGATTATCAGACTATGTCACTTTGCGATCTCCTGCAGAAAGAGCCCCTGTACTGCCTGGGATCATATCAGTGTCCTGTAGGATTTCTGCAGATTTCAGGCTCTCCTGGGGGCAAGGCTAGGTGTATAGATCTTATATATATATATATATATATATATATATATATATATATATATATATATATATATATATATATATATATATATATATATATATATATATATATATATATTATATTTTTTTTTTTTTTTTGGTATAATAATAATAATAATAATGTATAATCAATACATTGTGCAATGCAGTTTATAATTGTAGCCTATTTACTTTATTTAATATTTCTGCTGTCATTGTAGCTCTGCTTTCAAGGACCACACACAAAACATGTAACTCACCAGTACTCTATTTTTTTCAATCCAAATGTAAAAATGTGAGGAAAAAATCACACAAGATCATTTTTTGTATATTTGTATATGTATGTTTTTTATATCTTGTAGCACAAGATCTTGTCCTATCCCACCTCTGCTCTCTCATCCCTCTCTTCTCTCTCCTCTCTTTCCCCCGGTGTGCGGTGTGTGTGTGTGTGTGTGTTGTTGTCAGGTGTGTAGTGAGTGTGTGGTCGTGGGAGAGGCCAGTCACTTTGTCCAGGATTAGATCCAGATAACAGCTCTGCTCCACAAATGGACTCCAGCAGCAGAGTCCATGTACAGCAGCAGCAGCAGCAGCACCACACTCCCACCTGCTCCACACAACAATCACACACACAACTACACAACTCACCTCACAATCACTTCAGTCACACAAATATTTACATTTGTCACTGGGCTGGCAGTGGTGTAGTAGGTTAAGTATTCAACTACGAACTAAAAAGTAAATAGTTTGATTCCTGTACTTTAAAAACTCTGGTCATAGTTAACTTACTTGTTGTGACAGGAAGGGCATCTGGATTAAATCTGGAAAATCAACAGTGAATACATGGTACAGAGGAAGTACTTTGAATATGTTGCAGAGGAAGTACTTTGAATACATGGTACTGAGGAAGTACTTTGAATGCATGGTGCAGAGGTGGTACTTTAAATACATGGTACAGAGGAGGTATTTTCAATACGTGGTACATAGGAAATACAGAGGAAGTACTTTGAATATGTTACAGAAAGAGTACATGGTACAGATGAGGTACTTTGAGTACATATTACAGATGAGGTACTTACATGATACAGAGGAAGTACTTTGAATATGTTACAGAGTTTGTACTTTCAATACATGGTACATAGGAAGTACTCTGAATATGTTACAAAGGAAGTACTTACATAGTACATAAGCTGTACTTATATAATATATTAAAGAGGAGGTACTTTGAATATGTGGTACATAGGTGGTACTTTGAATATGTTACAGAGAAGGTACTTACAGGATACAGAAGAAGTATTTTGAATATGTGACAGAGGAACCAGTACAAAGGAAGTACTTTGAATACATGGTACAGAAGAAGTACATTGAATATGTTACAGAGGAGGTACTTTGAATATCTAGAACATACAGTAGATATTTTTACCCGAGCAGAAAATGGGAGCAGATTGTCTGACTCTTTCCTTTAATGTGTCATTCATAATTTGTGACGTGCTGGAGCTCAGGCGTGACCTTTGACCTGCAAATGGTGCAGATGGAGCCCATGTACAGAGCGATTAAAACTGCAGCAGCTCAAGTCACTATAGACCGAGACTCGAGCTTTTTACATACGGTTACATACGAGTCTCCCTCTATTTACTTATGCATTTTAAAATTTCATATGTAAAAAAATAGAAAAATAGGGCTGTGAAAAGTCAATGCATATATGTTTTTACACTTTTCAACTTGCCTTTTTTTTTTTTTTTTTTTTTTTTTTTTCTGGTACACTGAGTTGAACAAAAAAAACTGGACAAAACCTGAATCCTTAACTGGACTATATTGGGACTAAATGCAATCCAAGTTTATTTATGTGTGTGTGTTTGTGTGTTTGTCATAAACTGTATAAAAAAAATGTACTCAGTGAGTGTGACGTTGCCCACATCGTTCAGCTCCAGTCAAATGAAGCTCATTGAGGCTTGCAGTTACAGGAGTGGATTTGGAGCCAGTTCCACATTAGGAACAGGAATTTATGTAAGTATAAAATAGTGAAATAAAATCACCAGGATAGTTTAGAGCTTTAGAGAGATTAATATGTACATTTTAATACCAAAAGGATAAATCTCACAGCAGCAGTTTACAGAGAGAGGGGTGACATTTATTTATCATTATTATTATTATTATTATTTATTTTATTTTATTTTACTTTTTTTTTTTTGAGTTTGTGCCATGAGAGAAGCTATAATCTTATGCTACATTTACACTGAAATGAATTACCGTATCACTGTATCAGAAACGATCTGCGTCCACACATGTCGTTTCTGTGTCCGCAAGCCTTCTGTATCCACACAGTTTTGAGCAAATTTGTTTACATTCTACATAAATGAAACTTAAAACCGCATGGCTCATTTGCATAAACTAAGAGCTAAAAAAAAACAGCTCGTTATTGTGCGCTGATGTGGTTCAGCTTCTGTCAGTCTAAAGGACACGACTCAGTGGAATATGAGTGTTCTTTCTGTGACAGAGGGGTGTTCTGCTGATGATGAGTCTGTTCTAGTGTTTCTGTCATGTTGAAGATGGTTCATGTTAAACTTTTCAGAGATTATACGTCTGCAGGTCATACACACAGACCATATATATAAATGGACATGTATGTGAGTTTCAGCTGACGTCATTGTTATTAAAAGCCCGCGTTGCATGCTGGGAAATATTTTGGTCGGAGGCAAGAAACACGGTAGCGGTCAAACACAGTGCGTAACCTCGCGTATTTATCCCTGATAATGGTAAATTCCTGCTGCATTATCAGATGCACAAATAGAAGCACAGAAGAAGGAAAATGTCTTTTTCGTATTCTGAGTGAAAAGAACAGCTAACGGTGAATTAAACGGCTTTTAAACATCCGCAGAGCAAACGTAGAAGATCCTAACAAACCATGGACTCCAACAAGTTCAACAACACATCGAGACTCTTGGAGGTTTTCATCTTTTCTGCTGTGAATGGCCCAGGAGTTTCCACCAAGTCATTGTGGATATCGCCCAAGTGAATATTTGTCCAGGGAGTTGGAGATTCTGACCAGAAATTTGGTTTGGTCCACCTTTTGTCGGGGTTGAAAAGGGTGATTTTGCGTCCGTCGATGCTTATGACCAATTTCTGGTCAAATCATCTTGGGTCCTCTGCCGTTAGAGTGGATAAATAACCAGGATCAATACTCTTTACGTGTTTTCTCGCTCCGTCCGTCATGTTGAATTTGTGTTTCTTGCCGCCAACCAAAATAATTCCCAGCATGCAACTCGCGCTTTTGTCAACAATGAAACTCACCTATATTCTATCCTCTTAGAGTTTTGACGGTGAATTACTTTGCAGCGTATAGACCTACATCAGCATATCAGCATTTTCAGGTGTCCGCACAGTGCCGGATCAGATCTGTACTCAGATGAATTCGTGGGAGCTGGCGGCACCAGATTGTTCCGTCTCTGGAGCCGTTTTCCATCGGATTAGTGTGAACGAACACTGCATCCACAACGAAAATGACTCGAATACGAACTAGTGTGGACGGGACCTTAAACATACTACATATACATTATAAACAACAGAAAAGCACATTTCTAGAAAAGGAGTGGGAAGAAGAAATAAACTTATTATATTAACCCACCCCTATTCATTCATTCATTCGTTCATTCGTTCATTACATAGTTTCAAAAAAAAAAAAAATGATGTGGTTGCTGGACAATGATGAAAAAAAAAAACAAATATTTACATATAGAAAAATAAAAGATAATAAAATTGACTGTATCATGGTTGTAAAAACAGCAATAAGCAAAATGAGAATGAAGAATGCAAGGAATTTTATTTTATTTTATTTTTTTGTACTGTATTATGGTCGAAAAAACAGAAATAAGATAAATGAGAATGAAGAATGTAAGGATTTATTTATTTTTATTTATTTATTTTCATTTATGGTCGTACAAACTAATAATAAAATTTACAAAGGCACAAAAGCCTCAATCAATTCAACATTTTTTTTAAATGTAAAGTCAATTGGAAACGTCGAGTTGATGGAGCCGGAAACACGCCCATGTTCACTTCCTGTTTGGAACGTGGCGGCTCCCGGGTTGGCTATGTCCATTTATATAAACGGTCTACGGTGTGTGTGTGTGTTTTGTAACTGTACTGGGGTCATGCAGGGACAGCCCCTCCTCTTCCTCCTCCAGCCCTGGTCTAACCCTGCTCCTCTTCTCTGCTTTCAGTGTTGTCTACCAGGATGGCTTCTACGGCGCAGAGATCTATGTAAGTACTTCCTGCCTCTCTCTCTCTCTCTCTCTCTCTCTTTCTCTTTATCTATCCCTCTCTTCTCTTCTCTCTCTCTCCCTCTCCTTCCTCTCTTCTTTCTGCTTTCTAAGATGTAACACAAGTCCGAAAATCCAATCGAAAGCGCAGCCCCAGAGAAAAAAAACGTGCTCTGTCCGGGTCTCCTCTGCCAAAAAGGTGTTGGGTATTCTATTTGTCTTCAGGACGAGAACCCCAAACCCCCCAGTGACAGGGCACAGTGCACCACGGAGGTCTAATGTGACTCAACCAGTACTAAACCGGGACTGAACCAGGACTAAATCAGGACTGAACCAGGACTGAACCAGGACTAAACCAGGACTATACCAGGACTGAAACAGGACTAAAACAGGACAAAAGCAAGACTAAACCAGAACTAAACCAGGACTAAACCAGAACTAAACCAGAACTAAACCAGAACTAAACCAGGAATAAACCAAAACTAAACCAGGTCTAAACCAGGACTAAACCACAACTGAACCTGAACTATCTAAACCAAGACTAACTAAACCAGAACTAAACCAGGAGTAAAGCAAGACTAAACCAGAACTAAACCAGGACTAAACCAGGACTAAACCGGAATTAAACCAGGACTTTTTTTTTTAAGTTTAGTATTTTTTTTTTTTTTTATGGAGTTTAAGTCAGTTTTGAAATACATTATTTATATTTTCGTCAATCTGCACGTATATTTAAATTTTAGATCAGTTCTGTTTTGGTGGAGCAAAGATAAAAACGCTACTGTAGAATTTTTATAGTAAAGAAGTCAGTTTCAGTGTATTTTTAAACAAAACGCAGTGGCATGTGTATCAGATCCATATTGCTGTAGTATTATCTCTTAAATCAAATAGTAAAAGTCCTTAAGAAACGTACTGTATCATAAAACGAGTGCTTCCAGGAATCAAACAGCAGCAGTTATTTCAGTGTATTGTCTGGGGTATTCCGGGACGCCTCGGGGGGTAGGGGGCGCTCTCATCTTCGGGGAGATAAGAGGCGCTCCGGACGATAAAATGAATTAGCTGTCCCGCAGGAGATGTCCCGAACAGAGGGGTCACAGACGGGAGGAGGAAGGGGGGGGTCTAGACTCTCGTCCACAAACAAGAGCCGAGACCAGATGGGGAAATGATCTGTCCCAGTGTTAGAGCGAGAATGTGATATGTCCCTCTGAGGCTTCCATACGTGTAAGGACTAAATATGTACATACTGGAGTTAGAATGTTAATGGAGAATTCTGTACTGTTGTTGTGCTCTTGGGCAAGACACTCAGCTCACCTTAGTTTTTCTTGTGAATGCTGAAACTGAACTAGGACTGGACCAGGACTGAACCAGGATTAAACCAGGACTGAAACAGGACTAAACCAGGACTGAAACAAGACTAAACCAGGACTAAACCCAGACTACATCAGGACTGAACCAGGACTGAAACAAGACTGAACTAAGACTGAACCAGGACTAAACCAAGACTGAACCAGGACTGAACCAGGACTAAACCAAGACTGAACCAGGACTGAACCAGGACTAAACCAAGACTGAACCAGGACTGAACGAAGACTGAACCAGGACTGAACCAGGACTAAACCAGGACTGAACCAAGACTGAACCAAGACTGAACCAGGACTAAACCAGGACTGAATCAGTTTTATACCAGGACTGAAACAGGACTAAACCAGGACTGAACCAAGACTGAACCAGGACTGAACCAGGACTAAACCCAGACTACATCAGGACTGAACCAGGACTGAACCAGGACTGAACCAAGACTGAACCAGGACTGAACCAGGACTGAATCAGTTTTATACCAGGACTGAAACAGAATAAAATCAGGACTAAACCAGGACTGTAACATAACTGAACCCAGACTGTACTAGGACTAAACTTCACTTAGTTATTGTTGTGAGTGTTTACCTTTAACACATGTTTACTCTGAACACCAAATAGAAAGAAGAACTCTACACTGAAAAAATCTCAGAATTAGACCCTAGTTGAAAAAATCTGCCAACTGCCTTGAAAAATCTGACTAAAGTGAACTGTGAATCTAAAGCTGAGTTACAAGTAATTCCTCAGTGTAATGTACAGTACATTCCTCTTTCATCTAACGAGGCACAGCAAGTGAAGTGTACTTTAGTTTTCATTCATAGAACTCATGTTCTATGAACATGAGATGTGAAGCTGTGTCACTTCCTCAAGTATGAAATCTGTATAATAACCTTTACTTTAAGAGGAAGTTCATCTTGGTAAAACCATGCAAACTGATCGCTTTAATTTGAGTGAGTAAATGTTTCTTCTATACACAAGTTAGAGTAAAAACAGGTTCTATTCTACAATCATGTCATTTAAGCTGCATTCAGAGTGCAGCCTGAAGTGACCCAATCCAATGTTTTCTCCCCTATATGACCTGTATTAATGAACCAGATCCTTTTTTTTTTTTTTTTTTCAAATGTGACCCAGGCCACTTGGATATGTGCTCCTAAAAGAAGAAAGAATGCATCAGCACATCAGCCAAGTGCAGGTGCAGGACCAACAAAATCAGATGATTATATTTTATGATTTATATTTAAAATTTCTGATGAAGGACGTGGAGTCTGAAACATTGGGCCAATCAATTGCATGTTGGGAGCTTTAAAACAGTGTGTGGATTTTTAATTATTCCTGTTTATCTGCTCCCAAAACCGATACATATCTGATCTTTTGACACGCGACTTCAACTGGCAACGGTCAGGTCGCATTCAGTCCAGTGAAGCAGTGAAGCACATATCAGTCCCACTTCTCTTGGCTGCGACTTGGCACCCACATGTTCCTTTCTACGGACGTTGCTGCCACTGCCTCACAAAACACCACGGACAAAAACCTTGTCTTTCTCCTTCTCAGTCTTCTCCTTGAAACAAATAAGCTCTACATGTTCTGACTCCAGTACGACAGAGACTGAATGAACAGAGAGAGAATATAGGAAAAACTGGGAGGAAGCAAAAGGAGGACCGGAACTGACTGGGACATGGAGCTGGACTCTTGGCAATAACACATCACTTTTGAAGTTACTCGTTTCCTTCAAGTTGACCTTAGCCTAATTGACACATAATGCACTTTTTCCGCCCTGAAAGTGACTGTTACTTTACCACAATCATTAAGATCCACAAATTCGTAGCTGTGGGTAAAGTAAACGAGTTGAATGTAAGTGAACCCAAGTGTTGGATTTTAGAGGAGGTACCTTTGCACAGATTTACTCTTGTTTAATTTGATTTCCGTGGTGACACTTCCCTCTCGCTCGTCAGTCGTCTCTGAGGCCATAGGAGGAAGAAGAGGAGGAGGAGGAGGAGGAGGAGGAAGAGGAGGAGGAGCAGGGCCGTGGGTCTGATCTACGGCTCATACGGCGCCTCTATGATAGTGCTACATTTCATGACGTTTTATTGTGGTGACACGGGCCCCCGGACACACTGTTTGTCTCCGCTAGTACCCCCCTCTGGCCCCTTCCCCTTCTCCCTCTCTCCTCCTCCTCCTCTCTATCCTTCCCCCTCTCTCCCGTCTTTCTTCTTCTCTCCAATTTCTCTTTCCTCTCCCCTCTTGCTCTCGTCATCCCTCTCGCCTTCCCCCTTATTCCTCTCTCTCTCCTTCTCCCCCTCTCTCTTCTACCTCTCTTCTCTCTTTCCTCGCCCACCTGTCCTCTCTCCCTCTCCCTCTCCTCTCTCTTCCCTCTTTTCCTCCCCACACACTGTTTGTCTCTGCTAGTATCTCCCGCTTCCCCCTCTTCCATCCCAATCTCTCTCTCTTCCCCCTATTTCTCTCCTCCCTCCTCTCTCTATCCTTTCCCCTCGCTCCTCTATCGTTCTCCTCCCTCTCCCCCTTTCTCTCTTCTCTCTCCTCCCCCTCTCTTTATCCTTTTCTTTCTCTCTTCTATTTCTCTCCTCTCTCTCCACCCCTCTACCCCCTCTCCCCCTCTCTCTACCCTCCTCCCTCTCTCCTCTCTTATAACTCTCTTTCTCATCTCTCTTTCCCCTCTCTCTATTCTTCGCCCTCTCTCCTCTCTCTTAACTCTCTTTCTCCTCTCTCGTTCCCCTATCTCTATCCTTCCCCTCTCTCAACTCTCTCATCTCTCTTTCCCCTCTCTATTCTTCTCCCTCTCTCCTGTCTTAACACTCTTTTTCCTCTCTCTTTCCCTTCTCTCTTAATTCTCTCATCTCTCTTTCTCCTCTCTCTGTTCTTCCCCCATCTCTCCTCCCTCTTAACTCTCTTTCTCGTCTCTCTTTCCCCTCCCTCTCTTCCTCCCCCTCTCTCCTCTCTCTTAACTCTCTCGTCTCTCTTTCCTCTCTCTATCCTTCCCCCTCTCTCCTCTCTCCTAACTCTCTTTCTCCTCTCTCTTCCCCCTCTCTCTATCCTTCCCCTTCTCTCAACTCTCTCATCTCTCTTTCTCCTCTCTCTTAACTCCCTTTCTCCTCTCTCTGTCCTTCCCCTCTCTCTATTCTTCCCCCTCTCTCCTCTCTTAAATCGCTCATCTCTTTTTCTCCCTCTCTCTATCCTTCCTCCTCTTGCCTAACTCTCTTAACTCTCTCCTCTCTTTACCCTCACCTCTCTCTTTCTCCTCTCTCTATCCTTCCCCCTCTCTCCTCTGTCTTAAATCTCTTTCTCCTCTCTCGTTCTCCTCTCTCTATCCTTCCCCCTCTGTCATAACTCTTTTTCTCTGCTCTCTCTCCTCTCTTTCCCTCTCTTACCTCCCCCTTCTCTCCTCTCCCCTCCTTCCCTCTCTCAGTTCGCTGCAGTGACAGAACAGCTGCACTCACAGTAGATCAGTGAGACAGTGACAGTGGTGTAGTGAGTGAGTGTTTGCCCGTCTACAGGAGGGTCACCGGTTACACGGGACAATTGTTATTATTGATACTAAAACAGCACATATCACGATAAATGTAAAATGTAAAATCCCCTCAGTCGTCCAGGTAGAGTTGTGGACGGAAAGTGTCCATCTGCATTTTGGCC